GAGGAGGAGGAGGAGGAGGAGTGCCCTTACCTGGCGAGGCGGTTGAGGGGTGTCCCGGGGGCGGGGCTTGCAGGCAGGAGCAGCTGCGCTTCCAGCGTTCCATGTGCATGTCGCTCAGGTGGTGGAGGCCATCCGGCTGGGGGACAGGCCGCAGGGCATGGACGCGGAGGAGGCCGCCGTGTGGGCTCTCTGTGACGAGCTGCTCGCCCCGGGCATGGAGGTCGGCGACGAGAGCTACGCGGCCGCGGTCAAGGTGCTGGGCGAACAACGCGAGCTGCTGCCCCTCCCTCGTCCATTCTCCTCCCTCCTCCTCCCTCCTCTTCCTCCTCCCTCCTCCTCCTCCTCCTCCTCCTCCTTCTCCTCCTCCTCCCTTCTCCTCCTCCTCCCTTCTCCCTCCTCCTCCTCCTCCTCCTGCCCCTCATCCTCCTCTTAAGCCATCTGGGCCCTAGACCCAATTCTAGACGCTTCGCGTATCCCCACCAGCCCGTCCAGAAACGACGCCCAGGCGAGTAGAGGGTCGTCCTGAGGGGCTTTTCGGCGTCTTGGGTGCCTCGGGGGGGCCTCTGTGGGCCGTTCGGGATCCTCATTGGGGCCTCCTGGGGGCCTCTTGGGGCCTCTTGGGGCCATCTTGGGGCCTTTGGGGGCCTCCTGGGCGCTTCTTGGGGCCATCTTTGCCCCTTGGGTGCCTCTGGGGGGTCTCTTGGGGCCTCTTGGGGGTCTCTTGGGGGCCTCCTGGGGGCCTCTTGGGGGGCCTCTTGGGGCCATCTTGGGGCCATCCTGCGGCCTCTTGGGGCATCCTGGGGGCCTCTTGCGGCCATCGTGGAGGAAATCGATCAAAGAAGAGGGGAGCTCTAATTAGCGCTGCCCCCTCAGAAGGCCAAAATGGGGCCAAAACCATAGTAAACTCAATGATTTTGGCTTCCTCGCCGAGGCCGTTTTGGACGCTGTGACCGCTCCCCGCCCCTCCTGTCCAGGTTAGTGGGGAGCGGGCAGGGGGAGGGGTAAACCCCTCCCCGAAGGGGAAGAGGGAGGGGTGGAAGAGGAAACGCCCTAAACCACCGACGCCCAGAGGGCTGGTGGGATTTTGGAGGACCCCAGAGGACCCAGACCTTGGTGCTTCCACCGGGCGCTTGGGGGGCACCGCAGCGACAACCGTCTTTCTAGAGTCGTTCTTTGCGGCGGCGAAAACCGAGGATGTCCAGACTGTTTTCGAAATGCGGAGGCTGTGGCACCTTTGAATAGAATGATGTGCGTCCTCGAACCGATCGCACATGTCGAGTCTGTAGCAGGCAGGTGCGAATGTTCGTTCCCATGGGAACCCGTTCTTGGTCGTCGTCTCCTGCACCATGGCGAGTTCGTTTCGAAGATGCAGAAGCTAATCAGTTGCCGCCAGCGACGTCGCCTGGGCCCAAGTCTATTCTGAAGACGACGACGTACACCGCGGCAGCTGCCCAGGATTTAGTCTCGTCTTTGAAACACAAGCATCGCGCAGGCCCCCGACCCGCACATGAAGTCCGCGCTGGAGGCGCATCTGGCCAAGACGGACGTGCCGATGCCGCTGCCTGCCGCGTCGCCCGCGGACGAGGTCCGCCGCGCAGCTGCGGCCTGGCGGGGCGCGGAGTCAAAGCATGAACAGGCGGCCAAGGCAGTGCAACGCTTGAGTTGCCAGCTCGACCAGGCGGAGGAGAAGGGGCGTCAGGCCGCCGAGGTCTTGGCGCGCGCGATCGTGGAGGAGTCGCAGGCTGCGCAGTCCTCCGCCGAGGCGGAGGGGGTCATCACCGACGGCGGCGCGGGCAACATTGGCCCGAAGTCTTTGTCCCACCTGTCGCGGGACACGGACATGTTCGCGAATCTCGGCCAGTTCGAGTGCGAGCAGAGCATGAGGGCCGCCTTGGCGGAATTAGAGAAGGACCTGGTTAACATCAAGGACGCGCTGAAGTCCAAGGGGGAGGAGGTCCAGGCTTGGCTGCGCCGTGCGGATCGGCTGAAGGCCTCGACTCAGGAACGCCTTGCCGAGAAACGCAGGAGCAACTGCGACCAGGCAGTCCCTGGCGGAGGTGCTCAGGAGGCCTCTGACTCTGCGGCGCAGGCGGCTGGCACCTCCTCCCAGGATGCCCAGCCATCGGCGGAGCAGAAGGCATCGCGGTCTGCAGAGGAGGTTGAGAAGGAGCGCCTCTTTGAGTCCGAGGTCGAGAAGCTCTCCGAGGCCAACTTCGCAGCGCTGCAGGCGAACCGGCAGGTGGCCGACGACAGGTGCAGGAAGGTCGACGCCTCCAAGGGCGCGCAGGGCAAGGGCGTCGCCGTCTAGCCCAAGCCTTGACAGGGCGTCGGGCTCCGTTCGTCGTCTCCAGCATCGGCCAGCGCGACGGCGAGCGCGGCGGCCTCTTCATTCTGGCCTGCGTTATCTGCGTCTTCTGGCTCGAGCTCGAGCCCGACTCCGAGGGGGTCCTCCGCCGAGTCCACCTTGGGTCATGCTGGCGAGGGCGACGACAGCGCCCGCAGTTTCATTTTTTCTCTTCTTTTTCGGAGACGCCACGTGTGTGGGCACCAAGACTCGGGGCGCGCAATATATCAGGCGACGCATTCCGCTGACCATTTTGTGATTGTTGGGAGCTTACAGGGGGTGCCGAGTTGCAGCCCAGGTGCGCGGTGTGGCATGGTGTTCCACTGTCGCGACGTTGGTGCAGAGTGTGTCTGCGACGCTGTCGTCGCCGCCCCCCCCCCCCCCCTCTTCTCCGATTCTCGCAAGTTGTTTCCCCGCTAGTATCCGCGTTGGTGCCCGCGGTCCTGCCCCCCCTCCCCCAGGCGAAAGTCTCTGTCGATTCTGGTTCTCTTCTGCGGGGTGGGCGGATCTTTTCCAATGCGTTTTCGAGTGGCGCATTCTTTCTGGTGTGTATCCCCTGCAACACTTGGCCAGAATCTACGCGCCAATCCGCCGGGGCAGGTTTCGCGCCTCATTGGTGGATGTTTTGAGGGCGGTTCTCCGGCCCGCGCTGTCAGGGCCCGCCCGTCTTTTCGGAGCCGCTTTGCGCGGGGTGCCGTGCCCCGCTGCTTTTTCGACGTGTCTGTAGGGTCCCGCGCGCAGTGTAGTGCGTTTCGCCATCTTCCGACCTCGCCCTGCCGTAGACAGCCTGCCCACGCTGGCACCTTGAAAAGTGAAGTTCCGCATGGTTGTGGCGCGTGCATCCTTGCGTTGTTCCAGCGAATCGCCTTGCCGGATATACTTCGCCCTCCCAAGAATGTGGCGGAAGATGTTGCGGCGCGTGGCTGGGTGGAAAGCTGCCGCCCAGTATTTCGCCTTCGTCGAGGCCCATGTTGGCAGGGGAGATGTCGAGTCATGGGGCGGTGCGTCGTTGGATCCGGGCTTCGAGCTCTCCCGCAATCCTCTTGGCTCGAGCAGCGAACAGCGCGAGGAACTGTCTTCAGGGCGTGACGGCGAAGGGGGCGAGTGGATTGGACTCCATGGAAGCAGCCGCCGCGTCGCTGCTCGCGCGCGACTCGGCAAGGGTCAACTGCGACTTCTGTGCGATCGCAGTCCACGTGAAGGGCTGCGCGTTCATTCTCATCACCTTATACGGGTGCTCAGGGATTGGCTTCGCTGGCCCCAATATCAGCCGTTGCCGCCGCATGGGGGCGCTAGTTCATGCGCTGTGACACCCCTGGATAGTGGTGGCCGGCTTTAACGTCGGTGCGGCGGCGGTCAGCAAGGTTGGTTTCACTGGGCGCTTTGGTCGGCGCGTCCTCGCGGCCAGCGCGGGCGGCGCTTGTAGTGCTGGAGTACAAAGGGGTATCGCATCGATTTCGTGATGTGCATCACTTCGGCGCCATGCTTCGTCGAGTCCGTCGAGGCTGAGTTTGTCGTGTCTTGGAAGACGCGTCGGCTTCCACCATCGCCATCGCGATCGAGGATAGCAGCTGCTCGCGCGCGCGCCGTCCATCGCAGGCCGCCCCCCGCAGGTGCCGGGGCCAGGGCGGGGGCCCGACCTCAATGTTAAATCGAGCCGCTCTCGCGCTGCGCGGCTTCTGGCGGCCTGGGAGACAGCGGTGGCGCGCGAGGGGGCGTGCTCCATGCTCTTTGGGGGCGTTCTTGAGGTCGTCGACCTTCGGCGCGGGGGCCCCGGGGGCAGCCCGTGGATGCTGGGCCTGCGTGCCCCGAGCCCTCCAGAGTCGTTTCGCGATGGCGTCTTGCTCTGCTCTGAAGAAGACCCTGTTGCAGATATGTTCAAGTTTCGTGTGGGGGATGGGCCTGTGCAAGGGGTCTTCTCCTCTTCCTCCTCCTCCTCCTCCTCCTCCTCCTCCTCCTCCTCCTCCCCCCTCCCCCTGAGCAGCAGTTCCCTGGCGGTCAGTGCTGGCGATCCCGTTTTGGCGGATGCTGGTGATCGCGGCGCGGCCTCGGGGCCCCCGCGGAAGCTTGGCGGCGCCCCCGCGGGGGCGGCGTCCAGGGCTGATGGCCCTTGCGAGGGGTCGCCGGACGACCGCGGCACCGCTGGCCCTGTAGTGGCGTCGACCCAGTCTTCCGAGCCCCGACGGAACTCCAACGTTAGTATATGATCCTCCCCGCGCTCTGGGATGGGCACCGTCGAGCTGCGGGGTTTTCGTTTCTCCCCCTCCCTCCTTTTGCCAGCCTGCACCAGGGCCCTCGAGCCTTCGAGGTGGACCCTCGAAGAGCTCTGCAAGTCGGCGGGATGCACGCGTCTTGGGCGTCTGCGGTCGAGGGCGCCATTTGAGATCATCATGGGCATGGGGGCGTTGCCCGAGGGCCCCTGCGAGCCCGCGTTCCCGCCTTCGCAGTGCAGGAGGTCCGAGTCTCATGCAAGTGCCGCGCAGTCCCTCTGCGCGACCTGGTGGCCAGCTGGCGGGCGAGGGTTCACTCGCTCCTCGCGTCGCTACGCTGGCGTCGCGCCCTTGGCAACGGGCTCGCGCAGCAGCAGATATTGGAAAGATAATGCTGGCGCCTCATTGAAGATGGGCCCGAGCAGGCTCGCGTTTTCGCGTCGTCATGCCTGGTGCCGCCCTGGTCTGAATGGCTCGCATTTCTCGTCAATCGAGGCCTGTTCGGTCGTCGCGCTCGACGTGTTCGTTCAGTTTTTGGGCGAAGTTATGAGATCCAGTCAGAGGGCCTTGTGATGTCTCCTAGGGTCTTCCAGGACTGGGCCATCTCGGGGAGTTCGCTGGGCGCGCTCCACGGGGCCATGCGACGGGGCCCCGTCCCCAACCTTGAGATATTCGACGGCTCGGCCATTCTCTACCACCGGAGAATATAGTTGATTTCAAGAATGGCAAGTGGCATCGCAAGTGGGCCCCGCCCATCTTCGACCCCGGCGAGGCCCTTGGAAACGTTCTCGCGGCGATTCGGCATGTGATCAGAGATGGCCCTGAACCCCTGCCTAAGTCAGGAGTGGAGGATGTGCGGCGGCCCTGCGATCCATGCAGCCTCGCGCGGGGATGAGAGTAGATCGTCTCGCGCATTGTGATATGGAGTGGTTGCCTGACAGTGGGCTCGCCGAATTATGCGCGGCCGTCAATCCGATGGAGCATCTGTTGGTCTGGCCCGTGCAGACAATGCTCGTCATCGGGCGCCTCCTTCCGAAGGGGTTGAATGGCCATCGCGTGATCGGACTCCTTTCGATTCTGTCTCGGGTGTGGAGTATGTCTCGAGAGCCTTGGGCCAAGTCTTGGCCCCGATCTACGGGGTCCCATTCGGATGTCGCTATCGCTGGAGATTCTGCGCTACGCGAGCCATTTGGCGCGTTCTCGAGTAGGAAGTGGCGGGGGTCTTGGGGGTCACTTGCGCCCGCGCCCCCGCCAACATTGATGGGTGTTTCGACTATGTGATGTGGCTCGAGCTAGCCTGAGCAGTCTTTCGGCTCGGGTTTCTACCCGCGCTTCTTTAGCTCGAGCTACTGCAATGTTCACGTCCTCGCTCCTTGCAACAGATAGGAGCGTTTTTGATGGCTTTTGAGCCGCCGTGCAGTGTCCTGCAGGGCCTGCGCTCTAGCGACTAAGGGGTCGGCATCTCAGGTCAATCAGGGTATGATTTCTTGGTCACCACCGCGAGACAGCCCAAGTCTCAGGGCCTCAGCGTCGCCTGCAAGTCGGTGGTCATGTGCGCGAATGTGGGCTTGGCAAGAGACATCGCTCGCGCCCTCGAGCTGCAAGGGGTCGCGCTGGCGGCGGCCGAGAACGCGAGTGACCTCGGAGTCGGCCTTGGAGCTGGAGTCCGCCGTTTGCGGGGGCATCGCGCCAAGCGGGGCGCCGAGCGCCCGCCGGGGCGCCGCGAGGTGGTCCAATGTGGCAGGACAGTTTAGACGGACCTCGATCACTTCGAGATTAGAGCGCCAAGGTGTTCGAGCTGCTGGCTTGCATGGCTTCGACCTGTTTTGTCGGTCAGGAGGTGTTGCGGTGCAGGCGACGGCTGGGCGCGGCTTGCGGGGTCAAGACTTAAGGCCCCCGTCGAACCACGCGACTCGAACTGGGCGCGCGCTCAGGATCCAGCGCGGCGTTTCATGTCTGGCACATTCTCGCAGTGGTTGCTGCGCTGGAGGCGTCGCCTTGATGAGCGCGCTGGCATTATTCGGGCGCGGCCTAAGGTTCGCCAGATGCTGGGGGCCTTGCCCCGCGCCCAGAGCTCCAGGCGCATGCGCGCGCTCGTGTCCGCGGTGATCGTTGCGTGCAGGAGTTCGGCCGGGTGCCGCGACGCCCGCTGCTCGGGCGCCACTTGTCCCTACTTCGAAGCGATTTGCGATGCTGGCTTTCAGGAGTTTATCGATGAGCTCAAGGTTGCAGCTATGGCCGCGTTCTGGGCCGGGGCCTCTCAGCATTTCGACGGCGATGGGCGATGGGCTTGGGCGCGGCGCGGGCAGCTACTCCCACCGACGCCTGCTCCGCCGACTCCAGTAGATGCTGCGTGCAGGTTGCCGTCTAGCTCGGCTGCGCTTGAACGTGGCAACTGGTGGGGCTTGGACTGATGCTCGGGATATGGAGCTATTCCAATCTACCGCGCCCGACGCCGGCGGAAGCGATGATGTGTGCGACGGGCGCGGAGAAGCGAGTGAAACTTCTCGCCGCCGCTGCCGAACATGCTTGTGCAATGCTGGATGTCTGGCGCGCGAGCGGAGCGATGCGCTGATGCCGCGGGCCTGCAGTCAGGGCGAAGCGCGCGCTATTTTGGCACCGTGGCTTCGTTCCGTCGGAGTGGGCGATCGCCCCGGCACCTCAGTGCACGAACGACTGGCGTTGTGACGGACTGAATGCCGCGACGGAGTTGCCCGACATTGTCTCCCGCGCGGCGCGCTTGACCGCCCCGCGCTGGTTTTTGGCGACGCCAGCGAAGGTCCGGACATAGTGGGTCCCCGCGTGCGACGATTTGCACTAGGCGTCGCCGCGATCAGCGACTTCACGACTGTGGCGCTAGACTGTTCTATCTCTGGAGGTCTTGCAGGCGCCGGGCAAGTGGTCGCGAGAGGAAAAGTCAAGGAGCTGGCTCTGCTTGTTTTGCAGTAGCGGACATGCCTATAATGTGACATATTGCGATCATATTTATTTTGGTTTGATCAATCTGTGGGCAATGCGGCAGTGGAGGAATGGGTGAGACCGACAGCGTTGGAAGTCCGACTGGAGGCATCAGTACTCTTTCGTCTACTGCAACTGGAGCGGGATGCATTCCTAGTGCGCCGTCGGCTGCTACGAGCTGCTCTTGACAGTGCCCGCGCGGGAGCGGTCTCGCCAGGTGAGCTGAGAAGCAAGCGATCCTCTCCTCTCCCTGTCATCCCTCCCGCACCGTCCACGGTTTTGAGTGTTTCGACCTCCCATGTGTTGGAGGAGTTTGGCCGTCGTTGTTCCAGGTGCTTTGGAAGCGCCGCCCTGGCCACCGCCAGCCTCTGGAATGTCAGCCAATTCTTCAATCTTGTAAACATGAATGGATCGTTTCATGCCTTCGGGGCTAGTGGCAGTATCCACATGAAGGGGGGGGGGGTCTGGGTCCACGAAAGCTACGCCATGCTATTCTGCACTGAGATAGTCTTGCGGTTCTGCGGGATCTGCGGTAGTGATGCCAGCAGGAGTTTTTTTTGGTAACCTGCACAAGGGATGCGATTTGAAAACCACGCCGACGGGATCAGTGTATTTCAGGCGAATCCACTTGGGCCTTCCGCCCAAAACCCTCAGCAATGCCGAGGGGGAGCCCCGTCTGGGGCCCGTTCGGAATTCACCATTTCAGGTGTAAGGCTTATTTCCCCTCGTCACTTAGAGAACGAACTTGCTCTTGCTCTTGCTCTTGCTCTTGCTCTTGTTCTTGCTCTTGCTCTTGCTCCTCCTCCTCCTCCTCCTCCTCCTCCTCCTCCTCTCATCATCATCCCTATGTCCTTTGAATCAAATAACTCCTCCCTTTTGCACCCAAAGACATCTTCCCGCGCAGCGAAGACCATGCGCCAAGCGGCCTTTCCTCTTCATCCTTCTCCTCCTCCTCGTCCTAGTCAGAGGGCTCGGATTTTCCTTCACGGTCTGCTCTTCCGTGGTTGTCCCACCTCCAGGGGCACCAGGATTCCTTACTATATGCGCGGACTTGGGCAGCCAGCCAGCGCCGCCAACGAACTTCCCCAAATAGCTGTAGCAGTAATACTTTCATTTGTAGTGCGAGGGGCAGGGGTGTTCGCTGGGACAAAAAGGGCTAAGACGTTCGCCCCGGGTGGCTCCAGATATCCCCAGACCTTGCATGCCCTCTCTCTCTCTCCGCCTCCTGTCCCACCTCGGCGGCAAGGCTTAGGTTCCTGCGCGCTAAGCTTCAGCTGTCATTCTCATGGGGCAGTCAGGGATCTGCTTTGGGGAGCGCCGCAGTCACTCACTCACCCACCCACTCACACACTCACTCACTTACTCCTCCTCCTCCTTCTCCTCCTTGGTCCTCCACCACCACCACCTCCTCCTCCTCCTTCTCCTCCTCCTCCTCCTCCTCCTCCTCCTCCTCCTCCTCCTCCTCCTCCTCCTCCTCCCCCTCCCCCTCCCCCTCCTGCTCGTCGTCGTCTTCCTCCTCCTCTTCCTCCTCCTCCTCCGCCTCCTCCTTTCCCTCCTCCCCCTCCCTCCGTCCATCCTCGACGTCGTCCCCCGGGGCTCCTCCCGAGGCGCGTCCTGGCTAGAATTTAGCTCGAGGCGACGATCCACTCGGGGCGACGAGAGGCCCTTCTCCTGGAGGCTAGAAGGAGATGGGAAACACCAAATCACCGTGATCCTCGATCCTCGATCCTTGATCCTCGATCCTCGACCCTCGATCGTAGATCCTCGATCCTCGATCCTCGATCCTCAGTCCTCGATCATCGATTATGGGTCCCCCTCCCTTGTCGAGGTGCTGGGCGAGCAGCGCGTCTTCGAGGTGGCTTCCACGGTGGGCTACTACACCACGCTCAGCGCCATCCTCAAGACCTTCGGGGTGCTCCAGGAGGGGTTGACGGCTCCCTTCCGATCGACCTGCAGAGATTCTGGTCTTCCGATCGATCTGCAACCCGATGCAAGCCCAGATGAATCGAGGACAGACCCAGAGACGGTCGGACGGGGTTGGGACGAGCGGGAACGCTCTGAGAAGGCCGCGGCGCCTGAGACATCCTCCAGAGCCTCCAGCCCCCAGAGATTCTCGATGTGTCCTCATCCGAATTTGTCCTCGTCCTGGCTTCGTCTTTCAGAGGTTCTCGATGTGTTCTCATCCGAGTTTGTCCTCGTCCTGGCCTCGTGTTGCGAGGCAGGCCCAGAGATGGCCAGATCTGCCTGGGGCCGGGCAGGCTCCGGAGCGGGGGCCGCGGGCCGCATGAGAGCTCGAGCAAGCTCGCGCCGTCCGAGGAGGAGGAGGAGGAGGAGGAGGAGGAGGAGAAGGAGGAGGAGGAGGACGAGGAGGAGGAAGAGGAGGATCAGGAGGAGGAGGAGGAGGAGGAGGAGGAGGAGGCGGAGGAGGAGGAGGAGGAGGAGGAGGGATCAGGAGGAGGAGGAGGGGGTTCAGGAGGAGGAGGAGGAGGAAGAGGAGGAGGAGGACATGCGCCTGTGTAGGAGGGCGTGCCCGGCCGACGGGGACCGCGCGCGCGCCGCCGCGCCACCGAGGTGCAGCCCCCCCCGGGCGAGGCGCCGCCGATCCCGCCGCCGGCGCGCCCCGCCGCCCCGCCGCTGCGTCCCCGCGCGCCCGCGCCGGGGGGGGGGGCGCCGTCGGACGGGGCCAGGGCTACGTATGTCGGGCCTGTCCCCCGACAGGGGGATGTTCGACGAAAACCAGAAGATACCCAGAAGATAATAAAACAAAGAATCCAAACATAGTCTGGGGACCATTTTTGATCGTTTTTTTACATTTTTTGGGGTATTTGTGGGGGGTATTTTTTTTTTGTTTTTCGTCGACAATCCCCCTGTAGGGGGACACGCCCGACATAAGGCCAGGGCGAGGATACGCCCGTTCGCAAGGCCCACAGGGACCTCCTCGCGTGGCGGACAAGAGTCACGACGGGAGGTTTTTTTCGCTCTCCTCGGCCTCGTGGGGCTCTGCCAGGGCCTCGGGAGCGTCCACAGAGCAACTCGGGAGGGAGAGCTGGCTCTGGGGACAGGGCAGGGCTCGCTGCGATTCCTCCGATGCGATTCGATTCGGCTTCGATTGCTTCCGACTCCGAGTCGATTCGACGTGGGATTCCGATCTGGGCTCTGGTCTGTATTACTCGCGGCAGATCAGCCTGCCGATTCCTGCCGATGCGACTCGTCCCGGCTCGGCCGCCGATCTCCGCCGGTCCGATTCGTGGCGGTTGCCGAGCCGACTTGCCGACGAGGATAATTCCGTTCCCAGAGAGCCGCTGCTCCAGCAAACCTTGTGGGGCGGCGGGTTTGTTAGGGGGCCACATGCGAACCCTACCCCCACCCCTGACGATTTCAGAGGGGGAGGGTGGGGTTCACTTCGCTCGGGAGCTCCCGAACGAAGTGAACCCCACCCTCCCCCTCTGAAATCGTCGGGGGCAGGGGTAGGGTTCGCATGTGGCCCCCTATTTGTGGCCGTCTGTTCGGCCTCTGGGTCTGGGGGCCCTCGCGGGACCCCGGGAGCGGCCACACAACGACTCGGGAGGAAACACCGCCCGGGGGAAGTGGTCAGCGGCCTCCGTCACCACCCACCAAACCACCCCAACCCAACCCGAAGGCGGGAAACATCGAAAAAACACATGTGGAACCCTTACCCCCCCAACCCGAAATTCGGGTCTTCGGGTTGGGTTGGGGTGGTCTGGTAGGTAGTCAATATACCCCCTCGCGTTGTGGCAAAAATCACGCGATGTGAGGTTTTTCGCTCTCTTCGGCCTCCGGGGGGGCCCATCCCCGGGCTCGGGGCCGTCGAGAAGCGACGCAAGAGGAAAAGCCGGTCCCGGGGAAGGGGTCCAGACCTCTGAGGGCCGACGCCGTGACTGAAGCACGACGTCGGGGGGCTGGGGACCGCGTTCCGTGGGCGCTTGGAGGGGGGGTGATTCGGAACCAGCCCTCCCCCCCTGGATTCGAGGGGGCGGGTGGGGTTCGAACCCCCCCCCCCCCGGCCAGCGTTGGCGACGGTCCCCAGGACGATGACCAATCCGTTCCAGAGCGCTCCAGAACTTTCACAGAGCGTCCCGGAACGCTCTGAGAAGGCCGCGGCGCCCGAGAAACCCCCCAGAGCCGCGGGATTTCCGAGCCTCTCGATGTATCCTCACCCGAGTTTGTCCTGGCTTCGTCTGAGGCGGGGAGCGGGCGGCTGGACCCCCTCCACTGTTCTGCGCCGTGGGGCCCCAACATACTTATACTATATGTGCGTCGCCCCCCCAGGGGCGACGCGCGCACCGAGAAATCTTATAGTATATGCGTCGTGGCGGGCGCTTTCTGGCCACACCGCTCGGGAAACGATATACTACAAGATGGGTATACTATATGTTCGGGTCGGACGCGCGCCTCCAAGGAGGACATATAGTACTAGTATGTCCATGTGCGTCCCATGGGGGAAGCGGGCCTCGGGGGAAACGGGTCTTGAGGTTTTTCGCCGTTGTCAGCTTCCTCGGGGCCCTCCGCGGGCCCGGGACTGCAGAGTCGCTCAGGACCCGCTGCCCCATGTTGGACGAGCGTCTGCTCGCGTGAGCCGTCACGTCTTACCCCCCTCCACTCTCTCCTCCTCCTCCTCCTCCTCCTCCTCCTCCTCCTCCTCCTCCTCCTCCTCCTCCTCCTCCTCCTCCTCCTCCTCCTCCTCCTCCTCCTCCCCTCCGAGCGATCTCCGGCGGCGGTCCCGGGCTCCCCGTCTCCCCCCAGCGGGGCCCTTCCGTGGTCTTGGTTTGCCATGCAATGCTGTGCCATGCTGCTCCACCTCCTCCTCCTCCCCCTTCTGCTCCTCCTCCTCCTCCTCCCCCTCCTCCTCCTCCTCCTCCGAAGACGACGACGGCGAGGAGCCCGCCGCAGCGGGGGCGCGCTCGCGGAGGAGATCTACGCCATGGTAAGGGATGGGAGGGAGGGGTAGGACGTCAGATGTGACGCGAGCGCACCTAGCTCGATAGGATCCCCCTCTCGGAACGCTACTCGGGAAATGGAAGTCCTGACAGCCGGCGGGTTCCAGGCTTCTGCCTCGACAGCGGGGTCCAGGCCTCTTCTACACTGTGCCCGTTTCGAGACCTCCTCATCCTCCTCATCCTCCTTCTCTTTTGTCCTCCTCCTCTTCATCATCATCATCGTCCTTCCGCTGCTGGTGTGACGGCAACCGCCGCGCAGCATTCTATACGGTTGCTGTCCACCGGCGCTTTTTGCATCAGCGTCACTCTGCATGATTTTTCAGGCCCCCTGTCTGTATACATATATATATATATATATATATATATAAATAGATGTATACGTATATACAGCGCTTCTTGACGATGCGCCGTCTGGGCGCGGCTTTCACCTGACCTGACCTGCCCGTTTCGAGACCCGCAGGACCTTTTCCACTTGAGTTCGCTCGGGCGGCCAGCTCCCCCTGCCGCATGCGCTCGTGGAGGGCGGCCACCCGAGCCTCGAAACTGTAGGAGGAGGAGGAGGAGGAGGAGGAGGAGGAGGAGGAGGAGGAGGAGGAGGAGGAGGAGGAGGAGCAGGAGGAGGAGCTGGAGGAGGAGGAGGAGGAGGAAGAGGAGAAGGAGGAGGAGGAGGAGGAGGAAAGTGAGGAGGAGGAGGAGGAAGAGGAGGAGGAAGAGGAGGAGGAGGACCATGATAAGCCCACGATGTATGAACGATGCTTCAACACACCCTCCGGTCCTAAGCCTCCTCCTCACGAATCCCACACTAAACAGGGCGCCCTTTGCCTAGACGCGCCCCCCTGAGAGACCGGCACCCTGCTGTGGGCCTGCCAGCCCGGCGAGCGCCCCGTTCTGCTCGGGCTTTGCCTCTGCCCAGCGAGATCCCCGTTTTGAACCGAAGAGCGCCATAACCAAAAATTTTTGGCGCTCCTCGCGGACTTCTTGGATCCGCGCTGGGGTCCCCTTGGCGGCGCCTCCGGCGCCGCCCTTGGCGCGCTCTGCGCGCCAGGGAGGGGGATCTGGTGGCGCAGATCCAAGAAAAATCCACGCGGAGCGCCACGAGCTTACGTTCATGCAGTTTTTCTCCTTCCGCTGAGAGGGCCGCATCATCTGCGCATGGGTTGCACGTCTCTGGACACCTGTGGCCACGCACCTCGAGCTCCCCAGCCAGCTGTCTCCGCTTCGAGGAGGAGGCGCTCTTCGTCCGTGCAGCTGCTGCACATGATCGCACTGTGGCCTTTCTAGCCTTGAGCCGGGCCTGTCCCTCTACAGGGGGAACATTCAAAGATAGTAGAGAAATAGTCGGGGGATGATTCTTCCACGATTTTTGAGTATTCCTGGGTATTTCTGGGGTATCTTTAATTTTTCGTCCAAAATCCCCCTGTAGGGGGACATGCCCGAGCTAATCATAGTCTGTTCTGTCGTGCTTCCGCCGCCCATGGTTCCGCGAAAGCTGCCAGGAGCAGCAATGCCACCGCCTGTGCTCATCTTTGCGTGGGCCTGGGTCAGGGGCCGCGGCTCGCGCTCGCAGGTCCGGAGCTGTATAGCAGATGTGCTCCGATTCAGAGGACTGCGAGAGCCAAGTTTGAAAAGGAACCGTTCTGCAGTCCTGTAGCTACCGCATGCTTTTCAGGCAAGTGTGCGCGGCCCTAGGGCGAGAGCTCCGTTTTGACCCCCTCCATCTTCCTTACTGCTGCAAGCGTTCAAGACGAATGTGAGCGGCGCTTAGGCGAGAGCTCCATCTTGCAGCTTTTAGAACAAATGTGCAAGTTGCTACAGGGCGAGTGCATTTTGAGAATGACCGCCTCCGTCTTCGTAACTTTGTCAGCGTTGACGGCGAATGCGCACGGCGCTAAAGCGAGAGCCCACGTTTGGAAACGACCCCGTCAGTCCTTGCAGTTGATGTTGCGAATTAAAAGCTTCAGGATCATACATTGAGGAAATCTCGGGCGAAACGCCGTGCCCCTCCTACTGACACACCTGGGGGTGCGACAGGGTGGAGTTATTACCTACAAGGAATTGGGATGGGGGAGGAGGATGAGGAGGATGAGGAGGAAGAGTTCCTCCTCCCCTCTATACCTTCCTCCCTTCCTCCCTGCCTCCACTCCCTCCCCTTCCTTCCCTCCGTCCTCAGTTACCCAATCTGAATCCTACTCTCCTCTCTCCCCCGACTACGCCCTGAAAGTGCCTCGCCCTGTCCGTGTATGTATGTTCCATTTGGTTCCATGTTTTGGGGGATCGGAACACGTTCGGTATATATCATGGGTGCTCCCGCTGCAGCGTGGGCCTCGCTTTTAGATCGGCGCTCTGCTCCTGTCGTTCAGAATTGCGCTCTCCCCCCCGTGCAGTGGAGTTCATGCCAAGAAACACCCTGCTTGCCTCCAGGGCGCCCTGGGTTTCTTGGGTTTCGATGGTTCTGCCATGGAGAGCGTGACGCCCCCACACCAAACATCGATGGATGTCCTGGGGTTCCAGGGTTGGGTTTCTTGTGGAAGGTTTCTTATGGTCGGGCCCTCCCTCCCTCCCTCCCCCCTCCTCCTCCTCCTCCTCCTCCTCCTCCTCCTCCTCCTCCTCCTCCTCCTCCTCCTCCTCCTCCTCCTCCCCCTCCAAACCCATGCT